ATCAATCACTTCTAGACTAGAACTGTTTGAAGGAATGACGTAGAAGACAGTGATTGACTGAATGCCTTGAGGACACAGAACAGATCCCAATTTCTCCTCAGTAGAAACAGTCATAGTCATAAAATCTGGACAAAGCAGTAGACACTGGATACATTCTTTTCTTAAACTCATTGAAGTTAATATGTTTCCAATTATTTAGCTGTTTTTTATTTGAATTTCAAAAATTAAATTAATTTAATCAAATTATTCAAACAATCAAAATCAAATCAAATCTAAATCTAGTGTTTTAGCAACATGCAAAAAGCAACACATTCTGCAACCCAAATCCTGATGTAAAGACACCCATGGAAGCAGCTTATCCCATCAATAATGCGGTAGTGTGTGCCCAGTTTAGCTCAATCACCTGTGAGGCTGTGTGACTAACCTGCATGTGCTTTGACCAGAAGTCGCATGATGTACCACGTGAGAGACAAAGATGCTGTCTGACAAAGTAAAACTCTTGTCTTTTCTAAAATGCTTCTACAGGTAATCTGCATGTCAGATCATCTACAGGATTGTCCTGTAGGTTTCAGTCAGTGCCGACTGCCTGACGCAGTCCTATCGCTGCGACATCTTGCGCGCTGTTGCTGTACATACCTGACAAGTTGTATAAAATTCTTTTCAGTTTTGTCACTCTCCTCCAGGTCAACCTTCACAATCAATGGGCAATCAACGTGATTGACACTTTATTTTCTTTAGAAAAGCTGCGCTATTAAGATTAATTTCATATGATGAACTCGTCTTTCATAAATCTGTAACAGAATACACAAAAGAAATATGCTGTAAACCCGAGAAGAGTGATGACACGATAAAGAGGAAATGACAGAAATCAGTCATGTGAGGAGAAAACAATTTTTTGATGCCTTTGTGCTGATAGGATTGATTGCTGATGTTTTCGATATGGAAAGTTCTTATGAAAACTATGGAAAAAGAAAAGGACACTTACAAGAGCATGATCATTTAAAGGAAATCAGTAAAGTGTTGGAACTTGACCATTTCAGAGCACCTTGATGTTGTTTCATCAAGCCTCATTAGACGGAGTATCCCTGTCTTCCCTCAGTGTGTGTTTTACTGATTGTGATGGAGAGCACTGTTTAAAACTGTTGAGATTTGATATTCTTAATGCCACAGCTCATGATTGAGATCATTTCCATACTCTTAAAATCATTTGCAGAGCCCTTATGTGTCATTTGGTGCTGTGCGTGGCATGCTCAGGTGTGGACTTAGGGGCGGAACTGAACTTAAAACCAGTTTTATTGCTGGACTTAAAGGAAAAATACAATCTAGGAAACATGGAACCCAGAATGGAATTAATAATCAACTAGGAGAATAAAACGCAAAGAAGACACACCACATGATGGGAGATTGCAACAATGAACTAAGGAAACTGAACGCTTAAATACACACATGAGGCAATCATGGAGCTGGCACACAAAGGGACACAGCTGAACTAAATCAGGGAAATGAGACAGAGCAACCTGAACCACAAAGGGCGAGAGACTATCAAAATAAGACAGGAAGGCTCACAACACCTCTGTACTGATTTACATTGACCGTGTCAGCAACAATTCTTCTCAGAGCAAAACAGAACTGGATCATCTCATTTAGGGCACAAGTTTTCAGTCTTAGATCATTATCTTGGTGTAAGCTACACACTAAGTGTCGAGAGTATAGCGAAGTATGACTTCCAGATCTCTGTAGAACATTGCCGGTGCTTTTAACATCACTGAAATCACCAATGTGCATTCATCTTCGTTAATTTGCATAACTGCAAATTTGCTGCTGTTTGCAAATGTCAACAGTAAGTTATGACCTGCAGAACGTCCGTGATCATGTACTGGGCTGATACTGTTTCCTGTGACGCTAGTGTGATGGTTCTCAACCTTTTTCTGACAAGTTCCCCATCAGCAGCAACAAAGGTCACACCTCTGCCCACACCCCAGTTTTTACCCATCATAGCCATAATCACAACCTAGTTTTATGCCATATTTTCCCCATAGCTATATGCCCCACTAAACACAGTTTACAGTCCTTTTTACTGATTTGTTTGCAAGTGATCTAAATATAGGTATTGCTTTTGTCAGTTTTTCTTTTGAAACATGAAACAGTTGAAACCCCCTGTCAATGAAGCTCCTGTCTTCTGTGTCCTAACAATAAGTCTTTCAAAGTTGACTTCTTCTGCTTGTCATTTTGATTCAATGATATTGGATTGTACCATTCAGTGCACTGAACTGACACTCATTTGTGTCATTAGCATTAGCATTTGCTACACAGATGTGTTTAAATGCAAACATGCATTTAAACACAGTATATAACGCAAAAACAGAGGTTACAATCTAATGGGCTTAAAATTCTTATTTGGTATGTCTCTAGTAGCCCGATCAGCTCTCTTGGGCAAGCTTTCTTTTAATTTCTTTAGGTAGTCTTCAGAAATAGCTCTTCAGGCAAGTTGGGGGACATTCAAAGGGCATCTTTGGACATTGGCTGCCTTCTCTTCTGTTCCCTGTCAAATAGATCCCACACTGCTTCAGTAATGTTGAGGTCCAGACTCTGGGGAGGCCAATCCATGACTGATGATGATACAGTGTGTGTGTGTGTGTGTGTGTGTGTGTGTGTGTGTGTGTGTGTGTGTGTGTGTTTAAGGCAATGTCTAATAAAGAAATAGAAGACAATTGAAAAACTTTGTTTGAATAGTTGCGGTGCACTGATCTGCTTCTACCTTACCTGCTGATTGACAGGAGCTCTTAATATCTCTACTGGGATCACTTATGAGCTCTCTGTCGTCAATGCTGAACATGTGACACCAATTGACTATAGCATTTCTGAAATAACTTCCTCAGATAAAATCTGAAACCTCTGTACTGTTCCTCTGTCACATGTTTGAACATATTTCTAGGCAACATTGTATAATTTTTCCATCAACTATGCTGAATGATAATGGCTTTACAGATACACGATTGTGCCAACTGAAATACTCCATGTGGACTTTTTCTTTCCATCATAGACTAAAGACGGCATGATCACTGCAGCATTCATTCATGAAAGCATGGCTGCCTTTTGCCTTAGCGCATTTCAGTTAGGCTGTGACAGGGCTTCAAAATTAAACTTCACTGAGAGACATTATTACTTAATGCCACCCTGCTGCCAGTTAAGATCCCTGTGTGCGACAATGACAGCTAGCGGTCTTGACAAGGAAAAGATAATTTGCTAGTCGTCCCTCATTTCTTTATATTGTGCTAGGAAATTATTTTATTTCTCGAAATATGTGCAAACGTGCATGTTTTGCTACTTTTCAGTTAAACAAATGGTAGCAGACTCCTAATAACAAAGTGCCTAAATATATAGCTTTTCATCCCCAGAGTCAGGTGCTTTTTTTATGCTTGAGTTATAGATAAGCGTCAAACAGATTAACAAACCAACACAATTAAAACAAAAAACAAAAAAACATAAAAACATGGAAATGGTCAGGACTTCAAATTAATGCTGCGACTACATAACCAAAACACACACACACACACACACACACACACACAAAATACAGATTGTTGTTGTTTCTTCTTACTCGGATAAAGCAATAAAGTAAAAGGTTTTTGGTATGTGGAATTTTTTTTAGCCTTTATGAACTACATGCTCAACTTACATATTGAAGCCTTACTTTAGATTTGATTGAATTAGTTTTATTCCACATCAAAACAGAGCACTGTATAAGGATACATATGCAATGCAGTGTGTTACAGCGCAAGCACCCTCAAAACATTACGATATGACGACTTATACACCTAAATGAAAGAAATTTCCTTCCAATATTTTGTACTTGACTTATGATGCAAGGAAGGTAAATTGTCTATGAGGCCTGTTAAGCTCTATACAAATAATGTCTCATATGTTGCTGGAGGATATAAATGTGATTATATGATTGCTCAGGGCATTACATAACGAGTTGAAGAAGGTGGATTATCTTTGAAGAGAGAAACCAGATACAATCAAGAATGTTGCATGTGTCACTCAAGTGCAAGAGAGCTTCTACCCAGCACATGAGTCCTTAAACTGGAATCTCTTTGATGAGATAATCACCAAAACGTGGAAACACAGTGAGAACAAAACGTATCCAGATACTGTAAGCATTAGACATGTGAGGCACTGAGGGGACAACAGTCAGCAGCACCCTTTACTCACTGTAAAACAGTGAGCAAAGCGTCACATACACAAAACTAACAAAAGCATTGTAGGTGGCTTTATGCAGATTTACAGACTAAATATTAGAGTGCTGATGTTTAATCTTGCATGTCAAGGATGTGGGCAGTGCACAGAGGAAGGTGGTTTGCATTGCTTTAGTCAGCTCGGCCGCGTAAAATTGATGTTCAAGTATAAAACTGGGAACAGGCCATGTTTGCTCACTTCATCCCAAGAAAGCAGACACTGTTTCAAAGAGCAGTAAAGGGCATGGCAGATATGGTGCTGTTACATAAAATAAAAAATTGTAAAAGAAATTTAAAAAAAAGAATTTGGTAAAAAAAAGAATCCTAAATTGAGTATGAATCTCTACAATGTAGTATAACCCTTACTGACAAGTGTGTTCACCTGACGCCAGTTTCATGCCTGGACAGAGCACACGGCTGTCACACATAACTGATTTTCAGTGCAGCATTAAATAAGCAGTAGTATTCTTTATTCCGGCTGCAAATATAGCTTCTGGTGTAATATTTACTGTTTTTAACCCATTGGACAACTTTGATATAATGGCATTTTAAGAAGTCATACTGGGTTAGTATAGTGATGCAATCTGATTATTTCCTGCTGCCTGTTCTAGGAATAACGTCCCCTACTTTTAACAGGAAGAGCAGAGCAGCAGGTAAGGAGTGGTTTAGCTCATTAAAGATAACACGAGCACACACCTTGCTTGTGAGTGGTAGAGAGAGTCACACCCCCTCCCAAAGTTCACAGTATATAAGATGCTGACAGCCAGCTTGAAGTCACAGCTGAGTGAGGACCCTACCTGAGGAGCGATCAGAGCATCGTCAGAAGAAAGTCATCAAGATGGGAAACTGCTGTGAAAGAGCTGGAAATTTCTTCGGCCCGCAGAACAACACCTATATACGTGTTAGTTTACCGGCTGTGTGCTTCGTCTGGCAGATTGCTATGGTTATTCTCTTTGGAGTTTTTATCCGGTATGACGAGGAATCGGATGAAAAAGGATGGCATGAGTTCAAAAGGAGTCATAACATCACCAGCAACATTGAGAATGACTTCTACTTCAGATATCCAAGTAAGTACAACAACAGACAGCCTTTAAGAAATATTTTTTATTTTCAAGTGCATTTGCTACTTTTAGCATATGCATGCTAAACGTAGCACGGACATGCATGCATGCACTTTTGGGATACATGTATGTGTGAATAAATAAAAGTGCCGTGTTTTCTCGCTTAATGCTGTGAAAGCAGACTCTGTTGTCTGAGATCTTTTGGTAGTTTCCACTGATGTCTAAGGGATGACGGTGAATTCCTCCCCCACCAATATTTACAACAACAATAATGATGATAATAATTTTTACTTTCAAAGGCTGAATACTTTTACAGAAGGTATCTTGTTTTTTTGTTTTTTTTGTATGCCACAGGGGAAAAAAAGCTGGAAATAGTAATAAAAGATAATGATGGCAATGATGATAATAATAAAACATACTTTTTTCAGGCTTATGTGCGGTAATGTGGCAGTACTTACTGAAAATGTTGTAATGTGCAATGTCCCTGAGAAACTAACAGATTGTCTGCCCAGTGATCTATGTGCTGACATCCTTAAAGAAGAGTTTACATTAAACTGGAAATATTAATATAACTTAAAAAAAGAAATAAAGTGTTAAACAACATTTCAGACTCCTTCTGTTTTACTCAATATTAATAATAATAAAAGGCAGGTGGGATTGCAAAAACACTGAAATTTTTTTTTTTTTTTTAAATCTCTGCAGGCTTCCAGGACGTCCATGTCATGATCTTTGTAGGCTTCGGCTTTCTCATGACTTTCCTGAAGCGCTACAGCTTCGGTGGCGTGGGATTTAACTTTCTAATCGCCGCCTTTGGTCTACAGTGGGCTCTCCTCATGCAAGGTTGGTTCCACAGTTTGGACCCCGTCACTGGAAAAATTACCATCGGAATTGAGAGGTAAGTGCCATCGCTCCTTGGTGAGTTATGTAACTCAAAAATGAAACCACATTCTTTAACTTGTAAATGTTAATAACCGGCTTGAACTGTGGTTGCTTTCCTTCAGTCTGATTAACGCTGACTTCTGCTGTGCTGGATCTCTGATCGCCTATGGGGCTCTCCTGGGGAAAGTAAGCCCTGTCCAGCTGATGATTGTCACCTTATTTGGTGTCACACTTTTTGCTGTGGAGGAATACATCATCCTTGACCTCCTTCATGTGAGTCTCGGCAGCCACATTAAAAATTTGAACTTTCCTTCAGAGTTTAAAAATTGTATTGTGGGGATTTGCAGTTCTGTTTTTCTGCCCATTTAAAAAAGCGTAATTATTTTCACAGTGCAGAGATGCTGGTGGCTCCATGGTCATTCACACCTTTGGAGGGTACTATGGTTTGGCCATCTCCTGGGTGCTGTACCGACCAAACCTGAACTTAAGTAAACGTCTCAATGGGTCTGTCTACCACTCTGATCTGTTTGCTATGATTGGTGAGTAAATGGAAAATTACAGAGTTTGCCAAACTCTGTATTTTGTTTAACCCACCTAACATGTGTCCTTGCCTTTCTTACACCTTGCAGGTTCACTGTTCCTGTGGATGTTCTGGCCCAGTTTTAACTCGGCCATCACAAACCACGGTGCTGGACAGCATAGAACAGTCATCAACACTTACCTTTCCCTCGCTGCCTGTGTTCTTACCACTTTCGCCATCTCCAGTATGGGTCAAAAGAAAGGAAAATTGGACATGGTATGGCACACAAAGGGAAATAATACAGAAGCTCATGAAATCGACTTATTTATGAACGCTAATGTTCCACTTTTATCTGACAGGTACATATCCAGAATGCCTCTCTGGCTGCTGGGGTTGCAATGGGGACATCAGCAGAGTTTATGATCACTCCTTACGGTTCAATCATTGTGGGTTTCTGCTGTGGTATCATCTCCACCTTTGGGTACTTATATGTCACGGTGAGTGATGCCATTCTTTAACCCCCTAGCTTCTGTTCTGAGAGATTTTTGTGTTGTGGTGTTATCATAGGAAAAACAAAGAAAGAAGCAGTGACATGCAAAAACTGCTGTGCGGAAATCAGGAGTCTGATAGGAACAATGAGGAAGAATTTTAAGAGCAGTCACTGCATGGTTTTAATATTAAGTATAGGATGAATACTTTACAATAAATGGAAGCAAGGTGTGGTGACTGTGAAATTGATGCCATCCAATTGACAAATTGATGAATAAAAGATCACTGACACAGGCAATTAGTAAAAAAAAAAAGACTGCTAATTAGTTGTGACTTGATTTTTCTCAGCCCTTTTTGGAGAAAAGGCTCAAGCTCCAGGATACATGTGGCATCCACAACTTGCATGCCGTGCCAGGGATGCTCGGTGGCTTCGTAGGTGCCATAGTTGCTGCAGCAGCTACTGAAGAGGTCTACGGCAAAGAGGGGTGAGTGACAAACGCGAATACACATAAAACTTGGAATTCAAAAACTGACCAGACCTGTTTACTGACTACTTCTAGGGATCCACACGCCCAGTTATTCAGCCTCCTTTTTTGAAAGACTCACATTAACTATGCAGTGACATTTGAACTTTCTACTTCAGTTATGATTAGTGCTGTCAGCGTTAATCTCACTAAAATGACGTTAACGGAGAGTTGCTGCGTTAATGCAGTTTTTTTTTTTTTTTTTAGCGAGATTAACGCTGACAGCACAAGTTGTGATGTGTTGAAAATGCACCGAAATTCAAGAGTTGTTGTTTGTTGTTGTTGTTTTTTCCTGTGCAGGCTGGTCGAGACATTTGGCTTGAGTGGCAAGTTTGAAAACAGGAGTATGTCAACGCAGGGAGCCTACCAGGCTGCTGGCACATGTGTAGCAATTGCATTTGGACTGGTTGGAGGAGTCTGTGTTGGTGAGTTTCATAACATCATTTTTGCTTTCACTTGGAAAGATTTATTTCTTTTTTTAAAGAACTCCATGAAGTATTTAAAAACAACATTTATGCAGAATTTTAAGAAAACTAGATAAAATGAAAATCAGGGAAGGCTATTGTGACTATTTTTGAAACACCCTTTTTTTTTGTTTTGTTTGTTTTTTGTTTTAAAGTATAAAATTTACAGTGAACAATGCTATGATAGGCAAGGATAATGTAAGTAACAAATCTTAATGATATAATATTCTCTTTTTAAAGGTTTCATCCTGAGGTTTCCCCTCTGGGGAGATCCTGCTGATGACTTTTGCTTTGATGATGAAGCGTACTGGGAGGTGAGACTGCACTAGATGGTGTTCTTGCCCTTTGACTATGCAGGCCTTTAAATACTGGTTCATTTTGGTTCGCTTTCTGATTTCATCTTTTGGTTCCAGCTTCCTGAGGATGAAGAGACAATCCCTCCTGTTTTGGAATACAACAACCACATGATAAACAAGCACCAAGACACGTAAGCTCAGAAACTTTAACTGTCCTCCTTACTTACCACTTCCTCCTCCTCATGAAATTCTTGTTAACTCATTTTCCTCTTTTCTTTCACAGACATGAGTCACAATTCTCTCTGGAGGAAAGTTAGAGACTTGCAGCAGGAGTCCAGTCCCCTTTATATCCTCATGAACTTTATGCAGCTGATAAACATGAACTGATGAAGGAGCTTTGGAAAATAAGCCACATGAAAATGTTTTAATATACAAGTATTGTTTTGCACAATTTATGTCTCATGTAGTTGCCTATTATCAACTATTAGAAGCTTTAAGTTAAAACAACATAAAATAATCAGTAAATGTCCAATTAAACAAAATATTATTTGGAATCAAGGTTTTTAAAGCTGCTGGAGCTTCAAACTGTTCTCAAAATGTTGATTTTTACCTTCACTTTGGAAGCAACATATATCATTCTGACTTCAGAATGCCAAGTACATGTAAAAGATAATCTGTCTATAAGCTAATTATGCACTGAGGAATATTATTGTGCAGCCAAAACTGTAATAACAAAGACAAATTGTGTATTGTTATTAGTTGAATTATTTCTATAAAATTATTTATAGCTTTTTAACTATATGCCGCTATGTACATATAGTTCAACAATTAGTTTGCTGCATAAATTGCATATTGCCTCTTTAGAAGTTTTAATTATAGTAACTATGATACAACCTCTAGCAATTTGGTTGCTGTTGAATGTTACCTCCAATAAAGAATGTAAGATTGTATGTAAGAACTTGCCTGATTTACTTCTGGCATATTATGGATTCAGTTTATTGGATAAACTGATGTGGTAAGGGAATCAATGCTAATATAACATTTGTGTGATGAATGAAACATGATTGTTGTTATTTTTAGTTTGTGAGAAATCTTCTAGATCTTGAAGACTCATCTGCTTGATCGTTTTACAGGATTTCAACTCCACTAAATGTACTGAACTATCTTAAAATGTGATTTAATAACACAAAGGTGCTTAGATTATTTAGACTTAACACTTATTGGAAATGGTGTGACCAAAAAATATTAAAGAAGCTTGTGTCAGTTTGATGGAATGAAAACAAACTGCTTTCCCAGTGTGCTGAGTGAAGAAATGCACAGCTCTCTAAATTAGTTTCAACATTGTTGATCATTACAACCTTTGTGAGCGGAATAGTTTTAGGTCAGTATTACGAACAAAATGAAAAATTAATGTATTTTCAGTAGAAAACAATAAGAATTTCTTTACTATTCGCATGTCTAAATAACCTCTAGGCAAATATGTGCCGTCCAATTTGTATTATGATAAGTAATCATTGCCAAGTGAATATAAAGTCAGAATGAGCTCACCCAAATCAATAAATGACTGGAGCTGCAAGGTTTTTTTCAGTCTTCTTTTAGATGAAGTTAAGAAACGTTTAGATACAGCCACACCATGTCATGTAAAGCCCACTGCGTCCAGAAAGCACATGGCCTTCTGGAATATGGGGATTTTCACAAGGCAGATTCTCACTCAACAAAATAACTATGTAGAGTATTTTAGTAATATTCCTTAATAAAGTATCTCAACTGCATTTATTCTTGACCATCAGCTGGTATACCAACTAGCCAGTATCTATGTTTATGTGCTGTAAGAAGGATACTGGTATTTTGTGTGTTTTGCAGTTATATTAACATATTTTTTCATAGCTTTATTTATATTTCAGCCACTTGTAGGCCTACAAAATATGAAAACAAAAAGAAGATGCACATTCTCTGTCATATAGGCCTGCATGAATAAACAAAGTTTGCATTGCACGGTCAGATTTCACCCGTCCCTTTCTTCTTTAAATGTGAAGTGGTGTCGGAATTTCCAAGTAAGAAATGCATTTCTGCCGGTGCACTGCTGGCTCTGTTGTGCTGGCTTTGGGTACGTTCTGTAACTGATGGCGCCAACATTATTAGGACGCTTACATTAGAGCCTCTTATTGCGTGTTTGTTTGGGTGTCTGGCAATGCATAGAATTACTGAAATTAGAGAGGGGATAGCCTAACATAGGAATCAGGAAAATACTGTAGTATAATTCATGTATTTCAACAAAGTATTCTACTTGTCACCTATTTAAACGGTAACTGTAACGAAATACAGTTACCAAAATACTCATATTTTATATTTCAATACGCTGGTACACGTATTCCATAAAATGCCCATGACTTGTGACTCTCAAGCTGTTTGGGCAAAGAGCCATTGCAAGGTTGAGTGATAAACAATATGACCCTTATTTCACTTCGAATGTTAATTAAAAAATGTGGATTGATTAGTGTAGCCACGCCATGTAATGTAAAGCCCACTGCATCCACATGACCTTTCACAAGGCAGCTTCTCACTCAACAAAATAACTGTGACAAATATTCTAGCCAGTGGCGGTCCTAGCCAGTTTGGCGCCCTGG